CGGCTGAAAAAAAAAAACAGCCCCATGGTTGGGCCACGGCGGAGATGTCTCGGCCACACCCCAGACTGGCCACGGCCAAGATGTCTCGGCCACAGCCGAGATTAAAACACCACTACCCTTCACAGGCAAACGCGAAGTCTCAAGAGTAGCCTACTCCGAAGAAGAGGGGGGCTCGGGGCAGGGAAGGGGGCCAAAAAAAAGAAAAAAGAAAAAGAAGAAAAAAAAAAGTAAAGAAACGACGAACTTTGAATCCAGCTACGTGCGTCACCAGTGCTTTGAGGAATGTATCTGGCCAGGAAGTGAGAAAAATGAAACGGGTCGTTTTCATTTTTTGTCTCTCTTTGTGAGGTCCCTGTAGCGCCCTGCCAGCCAGGCAGGGCGGATTTCAGGAGAGGCAGCTAAATGCCTCCCTTTCTTTCTGGTCCAGACAAGTACTGTGGCATCCTGTATCGGACCGCAATCAAAGGGATGCTTTTTTTTTTTTTTTTTACCTGCTGGTCGTGGATAGACTGAACTGCCTACGGCCGAGTTTCAACTGCAATTGAACTGCAATTGAAACTCGGCCCCTGACTAAAGTGCCAAATCGGTGTTTGGAATGCAATTACAAACCATTTTCGTGACTGCGCCGAAGTTACCCCATTTTTTTTTAATTTTTTTTTCTAGTGTTCCAGACCCTCTTTCCTGCGAACCCGCATCGATGAACCCGCACGCGGGGGACGCACGAATTTTCGCGGCCCACCCTCCCAGGGCCATGTGCAGGACCCCCCCGTTTTTTATTTTTTTGACACTCTGCCACTGTGAGGGGGTGCCCCCCCACCTCAAACCCACTCCCTGCTTCGGAAACCGCCCCCCAGATCGGCCGAGGCCGAGGCCGAAAAAACTCGGCCGAACTGGCCGCGGCCTGGGCCAAACCCGGCCGCGGCCAGCGTGCAACATAGCCGGGGCCCGATCCTCAAGTCCTGGTCCAAAATGACACCCGACAGACTCATGTCATGCTTATCAGCTGAAGAGATTCTCATATCAGTCTTGTACGATAACCCGGCAATTCCTGGAGAGCAAGGAGCTGTGTTCAGTGTTTCTGCACAACCTGGTAATTTTGGCCGAAAGTGGCTACAAAGTGGTATCTGGCGCGTGGGACACATCTGGGGCAGGAATCATAAAAGGTGGAAAACAACAGAGAAACTGAAGAACAAACTCAGGGGTCTCCGGAATACCTCGTCACATCTAAGGGAGGTAACAAGGGCGATTCCAGAAGCTTGGTGCCAGACACTGTCCGAGGAAGGGGATGATTGGCTGGAAGATACCTGGTGGATGGACACCGAACACGGCGAACAGGATACTCAAATCCTGCACATCTTGGAATTAAGGCCAGGCAAGGAGCTAAAAGTAGAAGTTTGGCGACAATCGGGCCCGATGGAGTTCAAGCTTATTGAAGGTGCACAGATACCCCACTGCAGGCTAGGAGCGCCCACTGAAGTAAAGCTCACGGTTACCAAAGAGGGCACCCCGCTAGCACAGTGCCGCTACTCTCCCAAGACACCATGTACTACGAGACCTCATCCACCCGGATGGGGGTGGACGGTGACCGTAGACTCAGCACCCCCCGCTATTACCCCACTCCATAAGTATACTCCCAAACTGGGCTACAGATTACATTCGAAGGCCTCATCTCTGAAAATGCAGTCCTGGTTGTCATGGAACAAGAGAACCCAACAACTGTCCTTTTCGACATTCATGAACAGCTGGTTTCCATTTTATTGCCAAATGATATCCCGGATAACAGAAGTAAAAGTCGGAGGTCTTCAATGGATGCACATGCACTCGTGTGTACCTACAGCCGAAAGGTCTGCGATCAATGCCCCTACCCACGAGTGGAATCCTCTGCGCATTTGTGGTGGGAGTGTGGCATTTGCCAGGGGTTCTTGGGAATGGGTAGAGACAATTTGGTTCAAAGCGTACAGGGAGACCAATATATGGAATCAGTCCTTTGTTATATCCGGAATTACGTCGGTAAAGAACGGTAAAACGGCAGCATACAAATTTCGGTCCATAGCATTTTGGCTCTTGTGGCTAGCATGCAGGGTTAGAACATAGAAGGTTTAAAGCGAAGCCAACATCCGCTATCGCCATTAGAAACCAGTTCAGGTGCTCAGTGAGGAATCCGATGCTGATAATGGCTGAATACAGAAAAAAAAACAGTAAACCGGAAGTCTCCAGTGGGAGGGTCTACACAGTTCCTAAGTGTCAGTGGGAACCCCCGCTTAGGTGGGCAGGCTCAGTGGAGTCAGGTAAGATCTTCTTCTCTAGACTACTGTGGGATGAACAGGGGACATGCTCCCAAACAGACCACAGTCATCAGGCTGGAAGACTCTCAGCAATAGGAATTTAAGGTACCCTTGGTTTGTTTGCAAATCTGGGATTATAGCAGTGTAGCTATCAAGAGGGGTTATTTCTGTAGTATTCCTCAGAGGCAGAGGACGCTGGACCTGCTTTCCAACAAGAGAGGACACTGGACCTGGTTTCCAGCCTGAGATATAAGGAGGCTGAACCTGTTTTTCAGCAGCAAGCCCGGGGGCTAGGTTCCACTTACACGAATTAAGAGATATTGACCGTAGATAGCACAGATCAACGGTCAGAATCTCGTAATCCGTGCAAGTGGGACCTTGCCCCGGGTTGAATTGTGAGGGCCCCGGCCTAAACCCCAATTTAACTAAAATTACATTTTGACGAAAAAAAAAAACTGACTGATGCTAGCCAGAAGTGGAATAATTGCATGATAAGTGAACAGCTGTGTCGGATGGAGGAAGTACCTGGTAGTTTTCATGTAGGGGGGGGGATAAATGCTGGTTTAAAAAGGCTTGGACTTTTTCCAATGATTGAACTGATTTGGCACAGGAACGGGGTGCTCTTCATTGGTTTTGGGAACGGGGACCTGTCTGTCCCTGTAATCTGACATTTAGCAGCAAGCCTTCGCAACTGGTACTACCTAGCGTTAAAAAAAAGGGTCGAAAACTAATTGAAGAAAGGGTCTCGGTACTGAAGGGCGTGTCATAACGGCCCTGCAATGCCAATTTCCGGTAGTACCGTAGTTATTCGTTTCCGTTTTGCATCGCACTTCCAAAGGTAGAAACTAGCTTTGCCCACTTCTCTCTCTCTCTCTCTCTCTCTCTCTCTCTCTCTCTCTCTCTCTCTCTCTCTCTCTCTCTCTCTCTCTCTCTCTCTCTCT